TCCTGGTGCCTTGTTCTTTGCCAATTCCTTCAATGCACCTTGGACTTCATCCTTCAGTAGCATTGGCTCTTGATCATATGCTCCCTCTTGAAATGGTTGAACATGAACCATTTCCTTTTGATACAGTGACTCTGTGTATTCCTTCCATCTTCTCTTGATGCTTTCTGCATCATTCAATAATTTGCCCAGAGAGTCTTTCAATAACAAAAGTTGAGGCTTGAATCTTTTCTTCCTTTCCCCCAACTTGAGAAATGCTGAGCGTGTTCTTCCTTTTTGGTATTTAGTCACTGAAAACCTTATGAATAGCAGAACTTGAGTGATAGGGAGGGCAATATACAGAAAGAGAAAGAAGTTGGCAGAGGGATGATGATGATAGGTGAAGAAACAGGGAGGTATTCACGGGTTAAGGGATTAGAGGTAAATAGTAATATAACAACAACAGTAATATATATACAACCATAGAACAACAGAGTTCTGTGCATAGGTATACAGGATGAATGTGTGTGGGAGATGGAGTGGGATATACATCTATATATCCCACAAATATATAAGCGTCTTAAAGAGGGTATTTGTACAAGGGTAATCACTGGAAGGAAGTGACACACAGAGTGTGTGATTTGTTGAATGTAAAACTGATGATCTTGTCTGTAAACCTTCACTTAATTCGCAATAAAAAATGGAGGGGACATAAAAAAGAGGAATGGGGGACACCTTGATTTGAGATCTAAAACTGGTTTACAAAATTACATGCTATAGAGTTTGTCTTACTGAATTCTTTATAATGTGGTGGTGGTTATGAGCCGTAGAGTCGGTTCCGAATCATAGTGACCCTGTACAGGGTTTCCGAGGCTGTAAATCTTTACGGGAGCAGAAAGCCTCATCTTTCTCCATCTGAACAGTTGTTAGTTTCGCACTGCTGACCTTGTGGTTTGCAGCCCAATTCGTAACCACTATGCTACCAGAGCTCCTTTCTTTATAATGCAGATAAGGAAAAAAAGAATAAATAACAGCTTTATCTGAGGACCCTTGGTAGAATGAATAGATATCAGAGGCCCAGTTGAAGTGAAACATGGATCACCTAGAGCATCCAAATTATGGATAGCCTTCAAATTGTTGTGTACTTAAACTTGATCATAGTTGTTTTCCAAAATACATTTAATGAAACCATACAGTTTTTAAGAAGAGACAGTGTTATCATACATGTTTTCAGAAGAGAGTCAATGGCGAGAAAGTGGTTGGAGAGTGACTTGTTGAAATGTGAAGGTGCTGCTTAAGAGATCAACTAATAAAGACAAGTAATAAAGTCTCAGTCAGAGAAGTGCCTCTGAAGAACAGCCTGACAATCTGCTTTCCAAAGGACACTGCCTCAGGGGCACAGTTCTACTCTGTAACACACAGTCCCCATGAATAGAATAAACTTGAATGCTACTTTCTTTCTTTCTTATTTAAATGTTCACTTTATAGGAAATATCTCAAAATGGGAAAATAAAAAGTTAAATAAGCAAAACAATAGAAGAATCTTAGAAATCAGCTGTGGGTACAGGAAACAAACTATCATATTTTTCTCACACAGCACCTGGAAACATATAATAACAGCTTTCAATTTGCTAACACTGCTTTTATCAACTACAGTATTTACACAAATGTTTCTTGAGACATTATACGAAACAGCACAATTATTTTAACCTTCTGTTCATCTTTTTTACTGGAGAAAAAAAGTGTGTTTTTTTGTTTGTTTCAGTTTTTGCATGAGATTTAACTTAGCTGCTCCTCCTCCTCGGAAACCCTATACAGGGTGGCTATGGGTCAGAACCGACTTGACGGCACTTGACAACAACATTGTGGTTAGGTGCCATGAGTCAGCTAGTGCACATGGTAGGGAACCCTGCCTGGTTCTTTGTAGTCTTCACAATTGTTACAACAGTTACTCTAAACTTAACAACTTTAGTCAAGGATCAAGTTTTGGTCTTGGAGTTTCTCAAACACAAAGTACAAACAGACCATCACAGTAATTTTATTTATAAAGTTGGTATATATTGTTGGATAATTTTACCGGTTTTCATGAAATAAAAGTAGCTTAAAGATGAGTACAGTGTCAGGACAGCCCAATTTATGTCCTAGACATAAATTTTATTTAGCAAGCAGACAAAAATATTTTGTTCAGAAATTCCCCTTAAATAGAAGCACAAGTGTCTATCTTATTAAGGAAGGTAGCACAAAATGTAATAAAATGCTTTCTACCCATTATAAATGTTAATGCTTTACAACATCAAAATATCTTGGTCAATAAATACATGTTTACGAAAACGAAGTGGAAAACTTCAAAGACGTAAAAATAGGCAACAGATATAATTTAAAAGAAACGTGGGATTCTTTGCTATCGTTCAAAGAAGAGAATATAGAATAATTGATAATGCTCTTTTTCTTGTTAGGTGCCGTGGAGTCAGAAGGAAACACTGCCTGGTGCTGTGCTATCCTCACAATAGTTGCCACGTGTGAGTCCTTTGTTCCAAGGAATGGACCACATTTTGAGTTTATCATATTTTGCGGGCTGGATTAAAAATAATCTTATTTCTTTGGCGTTCCAAGAGCTTCACAAAGTGCAGTCCGTGCTGTTCAATGGTTGGGGATTATCTATGTTTTGGGAGCTAATTGTTCTCTTAGGGAGCCTCAAGGCAGGTACTCAGTATTGAATTAAGTGTAGGGGTGCATTAAACCTCTAGGTTTTAAATTAGGTAATTACACCATTTCAACCTGCCCTATACTTTTACCCCAAGAATTATTTGCTTTGCGATTGCCGTGCAGAGTAGCTGCGCCGAGCGTGGGGCGAGGCCGGCTGGCTGCTGCAGTGCCCGGGCCTGCACAGCAAAGCCCTCGCACAATCCAGCACCCGGCTTTGAAGACAGACGCCTTTCCCAGAGCTGCCAGAGCGCTGAGCAGCAACGCGCTCCTGGGGGCATTGTGTGCGCGCCAGGCCTAGTGATCACAGGCCCAGGGGGGCTGCTCCACTGCACGAGACAAGACACGCCTCAGTTTGGGCAAATTCCCGGCCTCCTCTGGCCTTTGGCCAGCAGCCTCCGCCCGCCACCTCCTTTCCTCCTGCGCCGTCGCCAGGCCGCCCCGCCGAGCCCCGAACTCGTCTGCACCCAGGCGCGAGGCCCCTCGGCCCACACCGCACTGGCTGCGCGGTCCGGACGGCTCCGATGTGGCGCATGCGTGGTGGCGCCACCAGGCGCGGGAGCTGCAGCGGCGGAGTCGGCGGCGGCGACAGTCGCGGACAAGGTCACCCGGGCCGGCCTCGCGGGGGCGGCGGTAGCGGCGGCGTGGGCTGGCGAGGCCGAGCGGGCGGCGCCCGACAGCAGCTGGAAGAGCGGTTCGCGGACCTGGCGGTGAGCCACCTGGAGGCCATCCGCGCGCGGGACGAGCGGGACAAGCAGAACGCGCGGTTGCGCGAAGAGAACGCCCGGCTACGACTCGAGAACCGGCGACTAAAACGCGAAAACCGCAGCCTCTTCCGCCAGGCCCTGCTGCTCCCCGGAGAGGGCGGCAACGGGGCCCCCGAGGAGGCAACGGAAGCGGCCCTGAGCCCCGAGGCGGCCGGCGCGAACCGGAGGGCGAGAGGTGGTGGCCCTGAGGACGAGCCAGACAGCCCCAGGGCCTTGAGGGCCCGGTTGGAGAAACTGGAGGCCATGTACCGCCGGGCCCTGCTTCAGCTGCACCTCGAACAACGGGGGCCGCGCCGTGGGGACAATGAGGAGTGCCCACAGCGAGAAGCCGAATCTGAGCTCCAAGCGCCCGACCTGGAGTCCCCCAAGCCCTGGCTGTAGCCCCAGGCCCAGCGAGGAAGGGGCGGGACTTCCTACCGGCCCCACCTCCTATGTTACCGGCTCTCCCTATTCTCACCACCCTCAGTGCAAGCTCCGGGCTGCGCCCAGCCTGCGGAACCTTAGGAACTTTTGCTCTTTCATCTCTTATCCCCGCCCCGGACACTTCCGGGAGGCACACGTGTTCGGCCTAGGACGAGAAAGATACCTGGGCCTGTGAAATCCTCGCATGTGCACAGCACCTGTTCCAGCTGGATCCAGAGAGCGAGGGCAAGTTTTAAACAGCACGAACTGGGTGCCAATCAACCAATACCTCCTGATGCCTGAGCTTTTCTACGTGTTGTGGGGACCTGTTGTATTTCTTCTCACTTTTGTTTTTTTGAGGGATGAATAATTTTGACTTAATTCAGTTTGTTGTTAAATCTACAAGTCCCTAAAGCCTTCAACCATTATCTCTGAAGTGGTCAACATTTTAAGTGTTTGTTTTTGTAAATCGGTATTCCTAGGATTTCTATAAAGAAACCACCTTTTATAAAGAAGGTAACATTTGTAACTTAAGAACTGTGTGCTCATTGCTCCAGAGCTTATAAAATACACACTTATTAGTTCGTCCCAAGAGAATTGTCGAAATATCTTCCTCTAGGTGAACCTTTGAGTTGGTAAATAAATATGGTGCATTAAAAATAACATAAAGGCTTTTCACGACTATTATTTAAAGTGTGTTAAAGTTTTATATGCCCTGCTTTAAGAGGTATACCTGTATGTATTTATCTTGTATATTTTAATATCTAGATATTGTTATCTTTTGTAAACTATCATTTATTTTTGGCTTTATGCAACAATTATATTTTTCAATCTAAAGATTATTCTAAAAATTAAACATTGTCTCAATTTTATTAACATGCTAGACTTGACTAGAGAGGTTAGTCAGTGCACGGCTAATTTGCCTTATTTGAACTTTTAAGAAATTAAAAACAATGTGTATGTCAAAAGCCTCCAAACAAACATGTTTCATTTGTGATTTCTGTGGTAGAAAAAACTGTCTTAAAACCACTTTATCACAATTCATATGCTTCATAAGTAACAAAGAGGATGCCATTGAGCCTAATAAAAATCCTGGGTGCATAAGTGATGGTAATCAGTTTAGGTCCTAGTGTGGTGCTGTAAGGAAAGCATTAGACTGCTAATTTGAAGGTCAGCAGCTCAAACCCACCAGTTGTTCCTTGGAAGTCCTATTCAGGGTCACTATGAGTTGGAACCAAATCAAACCAATTTGAAGGCCCTTAACAACTAACAACAACAATTTGAATGTGAGAAAAAAATTGACCCTATTGCTTTGTTGTTGGGTGGTGCTGTGGAGTTGGTTCTGAGCCATAATGATACTGCATAGAGTTTCTGAAGAGTGACTAGTGGGTTCGATCTGCCAACCTTGTGTGTAACAGTCCACTATTTGTCCTATAGCCCCATACAAGTGCCATCAAATTGGTTCTAACTCATAGTGACCTTGTATAGGGTTTCCAAGGAGCAGCTGGTTAGTTTGAACCAACAACCTTGTGGTTCAAACTAACCTTGCAGTTCAGTGCATTATCCTACACTTGCCTGCAATTTGGGATTTAAATTAATCTCTCCAGGCCTCAGTTCTCTCATCAGTAAAAAGATTTTAACAATGTTGTAAGGATTAAGATGGTATATGTAAAACATTTCTTTGGAGTATAACTGCTCTATCAGAATTGCCATCAAAGCATGACAGTTGTAAATTCACTCTTAACTTACACGTTCCCTTGTTTTTATATTTTGTTCCTAGCTAAGTTGATGCATATTAGCAAAGATATGAATTGAGGTTTTTCATTCTTTATAAATAGATAGAGGAGATAAAGCCTTATGTACTAAGATACTATGCAACATGCTGCTGTGTGTTTAGTCGGGCCCAACTCATAGTGACCCTATGTAGGGTTCTGAGGCTGTAAATCTTTATGGGAGGAGAAAGCTTCATCTTTCTCCCTTGGAGGGGCCTGTGGATTGAAATTTTTGACCTTGTGAATATCAGCCCAATGCATAACCCACTACACTACCAAGGCTCCTTTAAGTTGTGTGCCATGGAATCTGTTCTAATGCATACAACCCTATACAGAGTTTCCCGAACTGTACTTCAAACTACTGACCTTGCAGTTAGTAGCCTAACACATAACCCACTATGCTATTGTTTGTTGTTACGTGCTGCCGAGTCAGTTCTGACCCATAGCGACCCTATATAGGGTTTCCTATAATGCAACGTGTTGTTTTTGTTAAGTGCTGTTGTGTCGGTTCTGAGGAGCAGCTGGTGGGTATGAAATGCCGACTTTGTGGTTCACAGTCTAGTGCTGATCTTACAGCATCAGACTTGGAGTCCAAATGCAATATGTTGTGGTCCTTAAGTATCATTGAGTCAGTTCCAACCCATAGCAACCCTATATAGGGTTTCTGAAGAGTGGCTGGTGAGCAATATACTGTCCCCAAATATTTGCTATTTGTGGCAATGTTAGGTACATTCACAAGCAAGCAAAATAATTTGTTTATGTAGTTCTTAGTGGTGCTGTGGGATAAAGCACTAGACTGCAAGGTTGGTTCGAACCACAGAGTGGTCCAAACTCACAAGCTGTTACTTGGAAACCCTATACAGGGCCTCTATGAGTCGAAATGAACTCTGCGGTACTTAACAACAGGTACTTTGTGACATAATTATTGAACATTGAAATATGAGTGAATGTTAAACATATTTGCAGGTGAAATAATTGTAAAGTAATGAGATAACAAATGACAACTTTTTCGCATAATTTCTGAATGCATTAAAATTTTTGAAACCAAAATGCCCAATAAAATGGGCTAAGGCCAACACATGTATCTTAATTTTGTTGAATGTCTGTGTTGATTATTGATGAAACCTCATGCTTTGACATGGTAGATATGTTAATTAGGTTAAAATAGTAGCGATTTTTTCACATGTATATTGTTTAAAAAGGAGCTCTAGTAGCGTAGTGGATTACCAACTGGGCTGCTAGCCGGAAGGTCAGTAGTTCTAATCTACCAGTTGCTCCATGGGAGAAAGTTGATGCTTTCTTTACCCCTAAAGACTTACAGCCTCAGAAACCCTTTACAGGATGGCTATGAATCAGAACTGATTTGGTTGTACACCACCACCATATTGTTCAAAGTAACAGGAAAAAGGCAAATGCTTCTAAAAAATCATATCAGAACCACAGAGGCAAAGGAGAACATTTAGGACAAAATAATAATGCTACAATGTATTAGGCTTTTGTTTTCCCCACTAAAATATGAAATTTATTGAAATGTTACCGTAATTTTCCCGTTACATTACTAAATTTAAAAGTCAGATTTTTCTATTATTTAGTGTTCCTGTATACTTGTGACAAGATAAACCAAACAAACCAAACTCACTACATGGAGTCATTTCTGACTCAACTCTACAGGGCTTCTGAGGCTGTAAATTTGTATAGGAGCAGAAAACCTCTTTCCTAAAAAGTGACTGGTGCCTTTGAACTGCTGACCTTGTGATTAGCAGTCCAGTATTTATTCTGCAGTACCACCAGGTAGGGTCATATAAAAGACCTTTGTTTTTGTTCTTAGTTTTTATACTGTTTATGATCTTGGAAGATATTTAGTATCTCAATGGGACTTACCAATTGAATTTTCTATAGGCACTTGGAAATACAAATTATTCTCTTTTTCTAAAATAGAGTTCAATATGTACATTTAAATACTAATTATTTCCTTTGGGTATTAGTCCAGGTGTGGGTTTATATTTTAACTAGGCACAAGCCAACCAAATGGATGAGATTTTCCATCTGTACTCCTTGACATACAAAAGGGAGCATAAAGTCTCACTGGTGGCAGTGTGATCTTAAACACAAGATTTAAGATGAGACTGAAACTGAAGGTGGCAGTGCAGAGTAGACAAAAACATGTAAAACAGGCAAAACTAGATTATAAGGAGAGTGGATACCTTTTGGTAGGCAGAGATAATGACAACAAGGAGTAGCTGAGAGGCTTTTAGAGAAAGTGTACAAGCAACAAAAGAAGTACAATGCTCTGAGACCATTGGCCATAATGCTTTAGTCATTATGCACTGTTGTTTTGATGAGCATTCGGTGAAAAGACCAATGGACTAGAGTGGAAAACAAGAACCAGAGCTACATATATTTGGGGACTTGATTTGTAACCATTGGTTTTGCAGTTTAGTGAAGAAAAGGTAGAGTTTTCAATAAAAGTGTCGTTAAAAAAAAACATGAGAAAAATATTTTTTCCTTTACTTCATAGCTTAAACAAAAATACACGTGCTTTACTGGTGAATTAAAGACTTACATTTGAAAAACACTATTTCATCTAATTCTAGAATGTAGTATTGAAGAGTATTTATTTTGACTCAGTGGGAAAAAAAAAGTATTTTTTAAACAATGTTGTTATTGTTAGGTGCCATCAAGTCAGTACCGACTCATGGCCACCTTATGCACAGCAGAATGAAACACAGCCCGATCCCGGGCCAACCTCACTATTGTCACGCTTGAGCCCATTGATGCTGCCACTTTGCCAATCCATCTCGTTAGGGGTCTTCCTCTCTTTCTCTGACCCTCCACCCTACCAAACATGGTATCCTTCTCCAGAGACTTGTCCCTCCTGACAATATGTCCAAAGTATGAAAGATGAAGTTTGACCATCCTGGCCTCAAACGAGCACTCTGGCTGCACTTCTTCCAAAACGGATCTGTTGATTCTTTTGGCAGCCCATGACATTTTCAATATTCTCCAGAACACACAACAGAAAGTGAGATACTAATTTGACTAATAGATGCTTTTCTTAAAGGCAGCACAAATAGAATGGGATACTAACTGGAAGGAGATTCATTGATATAGACAATAGGCGAATATCTGGAAGTATTGAAAATAACGAAGAAAAAAATCATTTCAGTACAGGAAAAAGCAAAAGAGATTAATAGGTCCCTTACATTA